TAGTGGTTGCTCATGATATGGGTCATAGCTTATTACTCTAACCAACTTTCCTTCTGGGAAAAAAAAAAAAATAAGTATTCGTGAGCACTTTAGGCTAGTATAAAAACATTAAAACACTTAAAAAAAAACCCAACTCTGTCATAAATCTTTCTCTCTGTATCATGACTCTCTCATTCTCTGTCTTATTCTTTCTCTCAGAGATAAAGCTTTTATTTATTTATGTATGTTATGTATGTTACATAAATATCTATCTATATGTATTACAAATATACATCTAAATATATATCTGTATATATACATATATGTCATATATATATATATATATATATATAAAACGTTTTGTATCACAAAGAGTTGCTGAAATCTTCCTACAAGATAGAAAAATTCCTGACCTGCTGCAATTATCTAAAGTACCTAAAATACTCCTATAAACACAATTACAAAATATTTTCTCCAACTACATCACAAAATATTAATGTACTAACTTTAGTTCCATGTTTTGAGCCTCTCCTGGGCTGGGTGTGGGTTGGGAATATGCTCTTTATGGTAACATCTATTGGATCATCTGCTGACAAAGCAGGTTTTTTAAAGCTTACCCATAATCGCCCTAATTAAGCCATCAAGTGTCAGGACTTGCTGTGTGAATTTGATTAACTCTAGCCATCTCTGTGGTGCAACTGATGTTGCCGCATCAAGGGACTGACTGCCTTGGGAGCAATTTCCTTATGCGTATGGCATCTCCCCCTCCACCTTCCTGTACTGAAAAAGTATTAAGGAAGGTTTGCAATGCTGCCCTCCAAGTCTGTGAAACTTCCTTTTAGCTGGGAGCCCAATCACATCCAAAACCTTTTTTATGCTTACATTACTATTGCCTTTATACCTTTCTGTGGCACTTAATTCATCAATATAATACAACTTGTAATATGTAAGGTAGATTGTTCACGTCTCTAACTCCCACTAGATTGTGAGCAACTTATTTGTTCATCTTTTGATCCTCCCTAATGGACACACTGTCCCCAATACTCTAGCACAAATATTTAATATTAAGCAGAAGAAGCCACCTGAAGACCAACATCCAATCTTCCCTCCCCCACCCCGTCCCCAACCATCCCCATCACCACACAACTGACTGAAAAGAGCAAAGAAAAATAAAAACAAAGGGAGTTGTTTTCTTATTGAAAGCATGCTTTACAGTGTTCACTAAGGGATCTATCTTTTTAAACCTACTTATCACATGCCTTTGAGGAAATACTATTGAATGAAGGTCATTGTGATGGTTAATCTTATGTGTCAACTTGGTTAGACTATGGTGCCCAGTTGTTTGGTCAAACACTAGTCTAGATGATGCTGTGATTGGTATTTTGTAGACGTGATTAACATTTACAATCAATGAACTTTAAAGGAGGAGATTACCCTCAATAATGTAGGTGGGCTTCAACAAGTTGAAGGCCTTCAGAGCGAAAAATGAGGTTTTCCAGAGTAGAAGGAATACCATTTCTTCCTCAACACCTTAACATAAAAATCATCCCTATGGATTCTGGACTCAAGACTACAACTTTAACTCTTGTGTAAGTTTCCAGCCTGCCCCCTGCCCTACAAATTTCAGACTTGCCAGCTTCCACAATTGAATGAGCCAATTCCTTAAAATAAATCTCTGTATCCATATATGTATCCAGAGAACTCTAACACAGTTGTGTTTCTAAGCAGTTCTTTTACAATATTTCTGAATGTTTTGCTAAATGAATATATCTATATTCTTACTTTTGTTATACTGAATAAGGGTAGGAGTTTATATACTAATTAATGGAAGTCTGTTTCTCTGTTGGTATGAAGAACAAGAGAGTATTGTCAAAGGAACCCAACAACAATGGCACCTCTTCTGGCAAGCATGGAAATCTTACACCAGAGGTTTCCAGTACGAAGTTCTATTTGAGTCCAGAGTGTACAGCCTACCTAAGCACTATAACCTATACATTTGCCTAAGCTAGTTCATATGAATTGACAAATCCTAACCAATTTCCAATAAAGAAACTGAGAAGTTTAATCAAAACATTTTCTTCCAAAAAAGATGGGCTATAGTTGGGGGGGGGCAGGGAGGAGGGTTTTAAGAGTTAATGCAACTCAATATAAGAGGTTGGTTTGCCCAGTTTCCATTGCTTCATTCATCAGGAGAGTTTCTGCTGCGACTCTTGGAAGTCAGTTTTATTGCATGATGTAATGGAGAAAATAATGAAGATTACAAATTTTCTTTATGCTTATGTTTTTTTAAACCACTGCCAGTTTGTGGATATTGAAGAAGTCAAAGCAAAGGAAGTATTATAGATTTAGTTTGTTTTAATTTATCCAGGTGGTTAGGTCCTGGAAATTTTTGAAGAAATATATTGAAGTGTTTTTAGAATTAAAAAGTCTTAAATCCCACTTGGTAGACCTCCAAAGGCCCCCAAAGGCTGCACACTTTCCCCTGATGTTACATAACAGAACTTTCTCTGTCCACTATAAACGTGGATGGTTTTGTATTCAGATTCAAACTTGACACATGTGGATTGAGAAGGTGTTGCCTGACACTGTTCTGTTTTCAATGCTGAACTTCTCTGAGCTCAAAAGGAATAACAGATTTGAAAGAGTTACACTTATTAGTGAAAAAATAAGTCCTGATTTTGGAAGCTAGTCATAGATTTGGGTGATTGTTGAGTCGTGGTCTCTGTGACTTTGTGATACAACCACAGAATGTATGGGATTATAGAGGCCCTGCCCTATTTAGGTGGCTCATTTTCCAAAGAAACAGCCTGTGCTAAAAGCAAACTACATCTATTAACACACGATCTTAGTGAACATTTAGTTAACTGAGAAAAGAAAGAAACTGTGAAAGGAAAAATCCATATTAATGGGTAACTGTTTGTATCAGCTCTGCTCCCCTTTTCCAGCCTCCTAAAGAGGAGGGTCCTGACTTGAGACCAATTCTTTTGGGCTTGTGTGATTCTGAATTAGGAGGAAAGAGAGCTGGGGGGAAAGATCTAAAGCACGCAGCCAGGACTGGAGAAGAGTAGGGCGTTTTGAAAGACAGGCACACAAGCAGCTACCTTGTGTGAGAACAGTGGATGAGAGAGAAAAGAGAAGTGTTTAAGATCCCTTGTTTGTTATTTACCTGCTTCGCAGTACCTAGGCTATAAGAATTTTTTGTATTTTGAAATTAGGTTTCAGGTACTTGCCTGTGTGTTTTGAGTAGTGTAGTGCTCTAAGTAAGACTGGGCCATGCGGGTCACAGATTTATAAACATCACACAAAATATTAATCTTGAGCTTTAGAAATTTCTGGACAAATTCTGAGTAGTGTTTGTCACTGCCTAGCTATTTTTGTTTGTTTGTTTGTTTTTTTGCGGTACACGGGCCTCTCACTGTTGTGGCCTCTCCCATTGCGGAGCACAGGCTCCGGATGCGCAGGCTCAGCGGCCATGGCTCACGGGCCCAGCCGCTCCGCAGCATGTGGGATCTTCTTGGACCGGGGCACGAACCTGCGTCGCCTGCATCGACAGGCGGACCCTCAACCACTGCGCCACCAGGGAAGCCCTGCCTAGCTATTTTATGAAATTGTAGAGAGAAAAGCCTTCATCAGTAAAATAACCTCAATCAGATTGTTATGAGATTAGAATGAAAACACCTTCATATCTCCTAGAATAGACTAGGGTGTGAATATAAGTATCCTCCTTAAATTGACCAGTGAGTAGCTCTGGGTAGAACAGTATACTCTTTTTTTTTTTTTAAATACAAATAAAGTTTATTGTACTGGTTTGGGAATTGCATATTTTTTACTGCTAAAAGCATTAACGTTTTGAATTGCAAATAGGCTATACTCACCATCAGTAACACAAATTTTAAATATTCATAGAACTGAGCTGAAAACATGCTCCCAGGCATAGCAGGCAGTGAAATATCTGGTCAACGTATAACTTGAACAATCATTTCTTGAGTAATTTACAATATGTTTTGGCTAGAAACAGTGAAAGCTGGCTCTCTTTTAATTAAAAAAAAGTAGAAATATCTTGTCTTTTTCTGGCCTGTTTAATGTATTAAAGTGCTTTCACAAAACTAATACCGTGGCGCCAGTTCAATACAAAAGGTTGGAAAGATGTTCCTCTTTTTTTTCATTAAGTTAACGTACCTTTTCCACATTTGCATTTGTTCAAAGATTAAGCTTTGTATCTGGAAGTCCTTGACTAGAAGTGGCTGGGAAATAGAAGGCTTGGACTCTGAAGGTTTCATTCAGCCAACATCCCTGCAGCCCCTCCTTTGTGCAAGACACTGTACTCAGTGCCAAGCTGGGACACAAGGGTCAACAGGAGGCAGTCCCTGCTCTGAGGGAGCCACCAGCCCGGCCAGGGAGGGGCCCAACTAGGACTTCGAAACAAACTGAAAGATCACAAGGCAGCTGCACAGCTGACGTGCCCGTAACTATCACAGCAAGGAAGAGCATCAGTCCACAAAGGCAAAGTCCGCCTTCCGTCTGATCTGTGTAGACCCCCACGCCCCCAACCCGCCCCCGAAGCCCCAGGTCTAGAGAACTGGACCTCTACAGAGCAGGGTCTAGTATTCGCCCTCCCGGCCGGAGGGTGTCAGGGCGCAGGGCTACAAGGAGAAACGAGAGGGGGAAGCAGAGGCCTAGGCAGCAGAGGGGAAGTGGCCCACGCGACCCCCGAAGACGCTGCAGCAGGTAGGGCGGGCTGGCGAGGGTCCGCTCGGCTCTCAGCGCCGTTCCTTCCCGAGGAGGGAAGCCCGCGGTGCTGCGGCCCTCGCCGTCTGACCCGAAGCTCCGCTGGCGCGTCGCAAGACTGAAGGCGCTTCGAGGCTCGCACAGCGAGGCCGGGGCCTTGGGGGCGGGACGTCGACGAAGCCCTGCCTCTGGCTCCTCCCCCCCAGGAGCGCGAGCCGGTCCCGCGCGGCGCCATCCCTTTCCCGGGTCATCGCCCCTCCCCTCTTCCGGGCCGCGAGCCCCCCGCGCGCCGCTTCAGAGCCGCGTTCGCTCGCTCGCTCGCGCGCGCCCACCAGCCCGCCCTCTCAGCGCGCGCTCGGCCGCCCGACGACGCGGGAGCCGCACGCGCCAGACTAGGCTCGCCGCGCTCACTGCCGCCGAGCGCCGGCCCGCTGAGGCGGCGCCCTCGGTTCCCGGCCAGGAGGGAATCTGTGGCCCCAGAGCGGAGGCGGCAGCGGTGAGGATACCGGGCCGGGAGGAGGCGGACATGGCGGGGCTGAGGGCTGAGGGAGGAGGGTGGTCCGGGCGCCTTTGCGGCCACGTCGAAGGCTCGCGGGCGGGCAGCGCGCGGGGGAACCAGGAGGAGTGCGGGGTCGAACCTGCTTGCATCGGCTCTGGCCCGGCGCGAAGGAAGGGCTGGGGACGGAGGGGGGCGGCCCGCGAGCGTTTCCGCGGGACCCTCAGCGGCATCGCGACGGAGGAGACGCCGCCTCGAGGCTCCTGCCACGTTTTCACCGCGCGTTACCTTCTGCTCGCGGTGGGCGACAGCCCTGCGCCTGCCCACGCCCCCTCCCCCTCCGCGTCTGTGGGTTTTCTGGAGCCGGGGATCCGGCTCGCTGTCTGGGTGGGCGGGGGGGAGTCGCGCCTGAGGGGAGCCCGGTCCTTGAACCCGGAGCTGCCGGAGGCTGGAGCCTTCCCGGGGGCTGCGGACCCTGCGAGGCTGTTCGCGGGAGGAAGGGAAGGGGGCTCGGGGCGCTGCCCCCTTAACTCAGGAAAACCCGCGATTGCAGAAGTTGGACGCGCGTGCAGGCCGTTCTTCCAAGAGTGGGTGGGGACGTTTGGTGCCTACTCACCCGGCGCTCTTCAAACCCAAGCGCGAGTGCCGAGCAGCAGGCTTGGATGGCTTACAAAGCCCAACTCCCGGCCCCGTGGGAATCCTGTCGCTCGGGGTCCAGAGCCCGCTTTGTGTCGCCGCGGAGCCTGGTCGAGGGCTCGTCACCCCCCGCGGCCGGGACCTCCCCCCGCCACCCCCCCTTCCTCAACCTTGGGAACGTCTGTCGGGAGAAATACTTGTTTCTAGAAACGGCCGCGATGAAGCTCTTCGTTACAAGAGAGGGAAAAGTACAAAGTTATGAACTCCTGGAAGGCAGGACTGGGTTTTCCTTTGGGTTCTCTCCCCGCCGCCGTGAGCAGAGGACCCTGTGGAACAAAGTAGAACTTGAGGGGCAGCCGCCTCGGTGACTACGTCCGAGGATGACGTCACCGTGCGATGTTTAAAATGGGAGCTTTTCGCTCCGAGTGTGGGTGGAGGAATTGCGGCGACTTACTCGGGGCGCCTAAGGGCTTCTTGGCCCTGCTGGCTTCTGGTTTCTCTCTCCCTGACCTCATAACTCTCCCCTCTAGGGCTGCCCTTTTGGTACTCCTAGAATACTGACCGGTGGAGGTGGGTTAAATTCTCAGCTCTTCCAGGCATCATTCCCTCAAACTGAAAAAAAAAAAAAGTAATTCCATATGACTCATCTTGTGTTACAACCCAAAGCCACCACTAAGTGGTTCTTTTCCTTCCTTTCTTCCTTTTATTTTTTGATATGAAACAGAGAAGAAAAAATAAAAGGAAAACAAAACTCAGATATGTGGAACATAGTTGGCCAATTTAATGAATAAGGAGAATGAGCTAGTTAGGGATTGAGTACCTTTCTAGTTTTCTTTGGTGGGGTGGAGGCTAATGGAGTTCCATCAGCAAGTTTCATCCCAAACCATGTATTAAATTGCAGTGGGTTTTCTTTTCCATCATAAGGTGGTGGAGTATAAATATAGCTTTATAAGTGGAAATGGCTGACTTTTTTTCAGGAGGAGGCTGCACAGCAGTTGTGGAGGGCTGGGATTGTGTGCAGCTGGCCATAGAAGGTAGACTTGGCATTCTAGGGTTTCCAGGAGGAAGGTCTGGGTGTCTTCCCATCTAGCATCAGGGTGGCCATGGCTGCCAGCACACCTCTCAAATAACATATAGAATTTATTTCACACTGAGGTCCCTTGTTTGAATTTGCACAAGGAGGAAAGGAATCTTATGAAGACGGACTTCAAGAGCAACTTTGAGAAAAGAAAAAGGAAGCTAACAGAATCAGCTGTATTTTTTAAATGTGAAAGAACACAAACTATAGGCTGGGTTGGTCAGTTTTTGCACTAAACATAACAGGGGCTGTATGTCTTTAATAATTGGCTCTGAAAAGGTGATGTTGCTTAATAAACGCAGCATCTGAATAACTCCAAGTTACTTACAGCAGCCAAATGAATGAGCTCATCAAGCAAAGAAAGAATATACATCGAAACAATCCCAGTGCAAGGTTTTTGCCTTTATGCATTAATCAGTGATAAATCAGATCTGTCATTTAAAAAGAGTCCTTCTTGAGGCAGTTCCAATATGCAGCTGAATCTCTGATTATTTCTTTTAGATTTTCTGTGAATGACCCTGAATTTCCACTCTCTTAAATATGTTTTGATAGAGTTGGGGTTTTTTGGTCATATTTTTTAGGTAAATATATCTCTGTTCTTGAAAGAGTGCTTACAGAAGTTCGATAATGGATTTTTTTTCTTTGTGTATAACAGCTTTATTGAAATATAATTCACATACTATACGATTCACACATTTAAAATGTACAGGTCTTCGGTTTTAGTACATTCACAGAGTTGTACAACCATCAGCACAGTCAATTTTAGGACATTTTCATCACCTCAAAAGGAAATCTTATACTCACTGACATCACTCCTTCCCCCCCATCCTCCTACCCCTAGGCCACTAATCTACTTTCTGTTTATATAGATTTGCTTATTCTGGACATTTCATATAATTGGTGTCATACAGTATTTGGTCTTTTGGCTTCTTTCCCTTCGCATAATGCATTCAAGTTTCATACATGTTGTAGCACATATCAGTATGTCATTTCTTTTTGTTGACGAATAATATACCACACTTTATTTGTCCATTTATCAGTTGATAAACATTTAGTTTATTTCTACTTTTTAGTTATTATGAATAATGTTTCTGTGGACATTTGTGTACAAGTTTTTGTGTGAACATATGGTTTCATTTCTCTTGGGTATAGAGCTAGGAGTAGAATTGCTGGGTCATATGGTAGCTATATATATGACCTTTTTAGGAACTGCCAAAGTAGTGACTACAATACTGGATTTTAAAGTGGACTTTTTTATGTTTTAAAATACAAGTTATTTTATAGAACTTTAAACTTGAATTATTGTAGCTAAATATTGACACATTTAAGTAAAAACTATATAATGGTATCATTGTAATGCTTCTCTTTGAGTGATATCTCTGATTTTATTTTAGCTAACAGGAGCAATTTGGTGTGCTCTCTTTACTGAACTCCTTTACAAAGCTAGGTGATAAGACTCTTGAACAGTATTTTATAATAAGGTCTTTATGGCATAAATTAGTGACTGTTCCCTACTCCAGATATGAACCAGTGAAACAAGATAAAATTAGAAGGAGGAAGGGGTGCTGCTGTAAAGGAGGGATATTTTGCAGAGCTTTATCTTCAAGTTTTGATGTTTTGGTTTTTTGAGAAAAACTATTTTATCTTTGCAGGGAAAGATGAAGAACGAAATTGCTGCCGTAGTCTTCTTTTTCACAAGGCTAGTTCGAAAACATGATAAGTTGAAAAAAGAAGCAGTCGAGAGGTTTGCTGAGAAATTGACTCTAATACTTCAAGAAAAATATAAAAATCACTGGTATCCGGAAAAACCATCAAAAGGACAGGCCTACAGGTAAAGGAATAGCTTGGACAGTTAGATTGGACTAAATGAAGAGGCTGATCAGCTCCTCAAATGAGTGCCAGGCCAGAGGAATGATGGGTGTGTCCAGTCCATGCCTTTCACAGTTTATCTGCAAAATACCCAACTCAGGAGTGTGTCAGTTTTATTTTTTCCTTATTCACTTTAAAATACAAGTATTCGTTGTTCGAGTCCCACTGCCTGGACTTGGGGGGCCAGTAGTATAGGCTCATGGGAGTTAGTCTTGTGGTCATAGTGTGGTTCCTGAGTGTTTTTCTTTAAGTATCACAGGTAGTTGAGGGCTTTCCCAATTGTAGAGAACCCCTAAAACTATCACTTAAAAGGGGGCATGGTAAGGGTTGAGGGAAATGAGTTCCTTGTATTTAAAAGTAAATTACATGTTACGTGTTAGAAGTTTTTTGGCAAATGAGAACTAAGGTTATTAGACACCTAACATGTTCTTGACACAGGAATAATTTCATTTGTACTGTGCATAATTCGTTGTGGTAGAAGCCATTGTAACCATTTTATAGATGAAGGTAACTTACCTATGATTCACAACTGGTAAGTATTAGCTCTGGGATTTGAATTCAGGTCTCACTGACCCTAAATTCTTATGAGCTTTCTGTATACCACAGTCCTCCCACAGCCTTGTCTCTGAGAGTGAAGGCAATTCTCACTCCCAGCTATCTTTTGTACTGTGGTTTATAAGTTACATTTACAGTTTAAAGAAGAGCAGCCTCCTGTAAAACATGTCCTGGCATGCTCACTCTTTAGTATTTATGTGACTACTTGGGAACCTGAGTTGAGAATATTCTGCTAAACTCAGCTGTTGAAACCATGCCCCATTTGTGGATGTGACGAAAAAAATAAAAGTGGAACAGTTGTGACTATCATGAATACAGAAATTCTTTTATTTATGCATATTGCTGTCCCCAAAGATACCTCCACAAATCAGCCCTTCACAGTAAAAAGAACTTCCTTTCAGTCGCTGAGCTCTTGAAAGTGTAAGACTGTTCACGGAGTGTGCAAGGGAGGTGAAAATATGATTTGTTTAGTTCTCATTTGCTAAAAGCCAGGTGAGCATATGATCTGTTGAAAAGAAAAGATCAAAGTAATTGATATATTTTCCTCTTCATTTCTATCCAAAGAGGTTTCCTAGTATATTGGAAAATGTGGTGAGTGAAAGTAGAAATGTGGATGTTCTATATAAAGCACTCAAGTTACTGTTTTTTATCCTCTCACTTGATTCTCTTAATTTTTTTCTGCACATCTTCATTTCTGATAGAGTGAACAGCTTTTGTGAATTAGAGCTGTTCAGGCTTTTTACACTGATGTAATTGACATTGGACTAAGGCTTTTGGAAGTGCCAAGCCACCGTACTATTACTGAAAAAGGAGACACTATCAAGTAAATGCTTAAAGGTCAGACAGTGTACAATTTTATTTCCATTAATTCTAAAAACTTGAGGAAAAAAGTTATCCACAGGATTAAATTGGCATATAATCAGAAGTATCATTATTGAGTCATTTTGAAGCCGTCTTTGAAGTAGAAAACTATTAGAGTTAATTGTGGGTCGTTTCTTTTATAAAAATGAATAGACTATAGGATTAACCAGAGTTAGTAGACCCTTCAATCCGTAAAGTTCTTTTTCTTCTAAAGTTTTTATAAATTAGTATGTTTCTCTGCAGGGAGGTATGTTTCTCTTATACAAATAAGAGCAATTTGGTAACATTATCAAGATCTATAAAAATATTCACAGTCTTTGAAAAGTAAATCTCCTAAAATCTATTCTAGAAGCATAATCAGAAATGCAGACAAATATGTATGAATATGGATATTTCTTACACTTTATAATTGCAAAAAAATTGGAAAGCGCTACACTGTCAACATTAAGTAAACAATGGACTATTTTTATGCAGCTTTTAAAATCTTGTTTTTGAAGAGTGGTTAATGGGTAAATCGTCGCAGTATCTAGAGTGAAAAAAATAGCATAAAAATATGTAAGGTATGCAAATTTTGTTGAAGCGAGTCTCTATTTAAGCATCTATATTTACATATATTTTTTTAAGCTTAGAGCCTACATCTCCCTCATTGTAGATTAAAAAAACAAACACATACATCTAAGATCTACCTTACGCTTAATTGCTTTTGATCCTGGTGCACGTGGGACTTTTGAATCAACCTACACAACATTAAAATCTGTAACATAGGACCATCTTATAGAAAGGAATAAAGAGTATCTTACATGGCTTAAAATATTTTTTTTTACTCTGAATTTGCTAAATTGTTAACAGTGATGTTACGATAAGTACAGGCATAATAGGGTTGTTTAATAAAGTGAACTTTGGCATCTCGTCTGGATCTGAGCTCTGGATTCATTACTTTCTAGCTGTGTAATTTTGGGCAAGTTACTCAAACTCTCTCTGCCTCCTTTCTTTTTTACAGTGGAGAAAATAGTATCTAACTCACAGGATCATTGTGAAAATTTAAAAAGTTAACATAGGCATACCTTATTTTATTGTGCTTTGCTTTATTGCGCATCACAGACATTGTGTTTTTTATAAACTGAAGGTTTGTGCAGCTGCATTGAGCAAGGCTGTCAGTGCCAGTTTTCCAACAGCCGTTGCTCACTTTGTGTCTCTGTGTCACATTTTGGTAATTCTTACAGTATTTCAAACTTTTTCATTATTATATTTGTTTTGGTGATCTGTGATCAGTGATCTTTGGTGTTACTGTTACAAAAACTTGCTGAAGGCTCAGATGGTTACCATTTTTTAGCAATAAAATAGTTTTTAATTAAGCTATGTACATTGTTTTTTAGACATAATGCTATTGCACACTTAATAGACTACAGTGTACTGTAATACAACTTTTATATATACTGGGAAACCAAAAATTTGTGTGACTAGCTCTATTGAGATACTCGCTTTATTTCTGTGGTCTGGAACCAAACCTGCAATGTCTGAGGTATGCCTGTACATGCAGAGCATTCAGAAGACTCTCTATTGCATGGTAAACCTTCAAAAAGAGTTATTATTATTATTATTATTTAGAAATACATATTAGCTGTTACCTAATGAGAACTTTTTTCACTGTTTTAAATGAAAGTTGAAATTAACTAATAATTAAACTTTAAAAAAAATTAAATAGTATATTCTGTTGATGTTACAGTATTGTATTTAGTGATATAATCAGTATTTGTCAATTAACTTATATTTTCCATATTTTTGGGGTCTGAAGAAGTAAAATGACTTAATCTAAATTCACCCAATAATACTAGTACTCAGGACTCGTACTAAAACCTGGGTTCTCTTGATTGATTTCTTAGTTGTAGGCAGTAAATACTTTCATTGTAGCTAACGTTTCACTATGTAAGCAGAATACTTACTTTAACAGGTATTTTTGCATTCATACTGAGAACCATCTTTGAGCATTCTGATAGGTAGCTGTGAATGGTATTTCTTAGGTTAGAAAAATTGGAACAGATGGGAATTCCCTGGCAGTCCAGTGGTTAGGACTCTGTGCTTTCACTGCTGTGGGCATGGGTTAGATTCCTGGTTGGGGAACTAAGATCCCTGCAAGCCATGTGGTGTGACCAAAAAAAAAAAAGGAACAGTCTTTAGTGGTTTAGAATTTTTTTCTCTCTTTCAATAACTTAAAAAAAAAAAAAGGAAACTCGAGTAACAGAGGTTAAGTGAAATAAGCCAATAACACTTTTGGATTTTTTTTCTAATTAATTTATTTGGCTGCATCGGGTCTTAGTTGTGGCATGCAGGATCTTCATTGTGGCATGCAGGATCTTCTGTTGCGGTGCGCGGGCTTCTCTCTCATCACGGCATGCGGGCTCCAGAGTGCACCGGCTCAGTAGTTGCGGTGTGAGGTCTTAGTTCCCTGACCAGGGACCAAACCCGCGTCCCCTGCATTGGAAGACGGATTCTTAACCACTGAACTGCCAGGGAAGTCCCTGGATTATATTTTAATCTTAAGTACATGGTATGAATGGTTCTGTGTCCTTGACTGATTCGGTATTTAGAGAACAATTATAGGTAAGGCATAGGATACCCTTCTTAAGCAAGGTAACAACAGATCAAAACTTGTCACAAGAATTTCCAAATATTATTTGAACCATTGGTCGAGGTCTTTTGCGAGTTGGAGATTTTGTTATATAGGAATTTGACCTATTAAAACTTTTACTTCAAAGCTCTAAGTAATTTCTTGCAACTTTCATACTCCTTGCTCATTTAATGTATGTGTGAGATTGAGTAGTTTCTGTGTGAAATGAAGTAGAGCCAGTTCTAGTGATTTCCCTGTGCTCACACAGACTCTTCTTTCCACCAGGCTGGGTAGTCTTGATGATGCTGCTGCCTCTTTGCCTTTAGTTCAGATTTATTATCTATTTAGGATAGATATTCCTGGGTTCTTTGCCAGGGTTTATTTTATTTTTTTAAATTCATGTTGGCAAAAACTAATAGATATAACAAAGTTTCTGATTTACATTTATTTAAAGCTATTAACATTACTCCACTTTGTTGTAGATGCATTCGTGTCAATAAGTTTCAGAGAGTTGATCCTGATGTCCTGAAAGCCTGTGAGAACAGCTGCATTTTGTACAGTGACCTGGGCTTGCCAAAGGAACTCACTCTATGGGTGGACCCATGTGAGGTGTGCTGTCGGTGAGTTCTTGAGTTTGGCAGCTTAACTGATTACCATGCTGGAACTGATTTTATGAAATTCTCTCAGGTACTGCCTACACATGTATTTTTATAGCCAGGAACTGGTTGTTTGGCTTTCTCAGCTGTGAATTTTGTAAACTATTCTTCTTGGAACTCAAAAACTGATAGAGCAGGGTTTTTTTTTTAGAGCTTTACCAAGAACTCTATTGTAGAATTTAGACACCTAGACTCCCTATAGGTCAATTATATCTTCTTTCATTGGTGGTGCCCTTGTCTTTCCCCTCTTCAAATTAGGAAAGACGCTAATCCCAAATAATACTGGATATTAACTTTTGGTTGATTTCTGTTTCTGTTTGTTTCTACTCTTGCCTCCCTCCCCCTTTTTGGTTTTTAAGTGGCTGAGTGATATTTTCATGGTTTTATTTTCATAATGGAAATTATTTCTTGTCTCCTAATGAGCAGAATTGTAAAAGGTGAGTGTTAGGTATGAAATCTAATTGAACTTCATTCTAAAAATACTCATTGTGGGCTTCCCTGGTGGTGCAGTGGTTAAGAATCGGCCTGCCAAGGCAGGGGACACGGGTTTGAGCCCTGGTCCAGGAAGATCCCACACGCTGTGGAGTAACTAAGCCCATGCGCCACAACTACTGAGCCTGTGCTCTAGAGCCTGCGAGCCACAACTACTGAGCCCAAGTGCTGCAACTACTGAAGCCCACGTGCCCGTGGGCTGCAACAAGAGAAGCCACTGCAATGAGAAGCCCGTGGACCGCAACGAAGAGTAGCCCCCGCTCCCCGCAACTACAGAAAGCCCGTGCGCAGCAACAAAGACACAACACAGCCATAGATAAATAGATAAATAAATAAATAAAATAAAAATACTCATTTTGGACCAGGCATTCTTAGTTGTAGGGTTTTTAAAAAATGAAAGTGACATTCTTCTTTCAGGTAGTTCAGAGTGTAATAAGGGAGAAGAAAGAATAAGCAGATTACAACAGAGTGTGATTTGTGCTATAATAGAATTATGTACAAAATGCAGTAGTTGGTGGCACAAAGGAGAAAGTCACTGCCTCAGGAAAGACTATAGTCAGCCCTTGGTATTGGTGAGGGATTAGTTCCAGAACATGCCCCCGCCCCGGCCACACGCACACACACACACAGAGGCAATATCCTCGGATGCTCAAGTCCCTTATATAAAATAGTGTAGTATTTGCATATAACCTATGCATAACCTCCCATATACTTTAAATCATCTCTAGATTTCTTATAGTACCTAATGCAATGTAAATGCTGTGTAAATAGTTGTAAGTACAATGTGAATGCTATGTAAATAGTTGCTTGAATTGAAAAAAATCAAAGTTTTGCTTTTAGGAACTTTCTGGATTGTTTTTCCCCAAATGTTTTTGGTCTGTGGTTGGTTGAATGCATGGATGCAGAACCCATGGATATGGAGGGCTGACTGTAGAGTAGGTGATACTTGAGCTGAGTGGGGAAGGATGAGTTGCAGTTGACTAGATGACAAGGTTGGAAGGACATTTCCAGGCAGGAGGAACAGGATAAATAGATGCATGGAACCCCTGTGAGTAATTTCCTACAGCTGTTCCTTTAGGGTTTTCTCTTTGGTTTCGAGGTACAGTTCACCCATTGATTATAGTAGAGGTGCTTTTTGATGCAACCCTAATATGTTCCAAAGGTGGTCATAGCCTTTGACCTGATCTCCAGCAGTGAAAGTGGTGGTGAAGACATGTGGGAAAAATACATGGTAATCCTGCAACAATTTTCTGGACCACCCTGGAGCTGCTTGATATAAGCTGGTGGCTTATATAAGCTTATTGCTTTGGGAAACCGGGTGTAGGTAGTAGATTCTCCAATACTTATTTCTCAGAAAAAGGAAGAGCAAGATACCTCAATTTTTGGTCTAAGAAGGTCAAACATTTTTAGAGTCTGGGACTAATTAAGCACTTACCGTAGGCCAGGATCAGAGTTTGTTTGATAGACTTGGACCACTGAATGAATCCCTGCAGAAGACCTCAGTATACAAGAAATAGCTATCACAAAGTTACTATATTGAAATGTTTACTTTTTATGAGGCCCACACTTTGATCATGATTTACTCTTACTTAACACACAGTTCTTTTAAGTTAGTTGTATAGTTTTTCAGCCCATAAAAAATTATGTGGCATTTGAAAGGGGATTGTTCCTAGTACAGTTGGCCTTCTGTATCTGAGGGTTCCACATCCATGAATTCAACCAACTTTAGTTCAAAAATATTTGAGGGGGGGGAAAGAAGTTCCAAAAAGCAAAACTTGAATTTGCCATGCTATGCAACTATTTATATAACATTTACATTGTATTAGATATGATAAGTAATCTAGAGATGATTTAAAGTGTATGGGAGAGTGTGCATAGGTTGTATGCAAAGTACCATGCCATTTTATTTAAGGTACTTGGGCATCCACAGATTTTGGCATTGGAGGGAGGCAGGGATGGTCCTGGAACCAATCCCCCAGGATACTGTTGTCATAAAGCTACAAAAAAAAGTAATAGTCTGACATAGAGGCAGGAACAAAAAAGCAAAAGAGTTGACCCAAATGTATTATCACAACATCAAATAATGAATACTTAATACAACGATCTTAAGTCATTAGGGAAAAGTTTCCATATCCAAGGATGTTTAAGAAGTTGGCTAATTATATAAACATTTTGGACATATTTATTTGAAATGCTTAAACTACATCTTGGCACCTGAAGATAAAAGCTTTAGTTACATGGACATTCTACTTAAGTGGATACTTCATTACTTGATGATGCCAGATAATAAAAAATTACTGTGCTTTAATCTTGTTAATATAAGAAAATCTTTGCATTCAGTAGCCTTCTAATTATTTTAGATATGATCAGAATTTTGCCCCAAAGTGGCTATGATGTGAGGTTTTTCACAGTTAATAGAAATTATTGATATTTTCAGAATATGAGTGCTCATTCAGTAATGATAGAAATCCCAGAAAGAAAGACCTGTTAGTGATTGGGTAGAGGTGATTGCTATAAATTAATAGAGGAGACTGAGATATTAGTGCTTTTGGACCAAAACTGGAACTATTCTGAAAATTAAAGCTGATATAGCAGTTATATAATTGAATAAATATCTGAGTCATTAAAAATAATAACTCATTGGTATACTAAAGACTAAGGTTATGAAAAAAGTTGAAATGCACTCAAAGAGAACATTCTTCATAGTTATTCCATCAGGATAAATATTGGAAGAGTGCAAAATGTTATATAGTTAGAAATATTTCACTAAGTGAAATATTTTAGAAGATACTGAATAGACAACAGATCCTATAAGGAGAAGGCCTGCAAATAGCTGGCAGCTTTATTATCTACTCAATATTCTACACTTCTATTTTTGTTTGTAATTACTGTAATCCTTTCTTTTCCTGATAAAGAGCAATAGATACTATTGATTTGTTTCAAATTAACTCAGTAGACCAGAATGTTTTAGCAGTGTGTCATTGAAATTTGGAAAATTTAAAAGTTGTCCATTACGAATTCTGAGGAATTAACTGCACATTCTAATGTACAGTAATATAGTAAGTAGCTTCACTTACCCTGAAGAGAGCCCTCATACCAAAATACTACCACGGGAAAAATGCAGAACCTAACTGAGCTTGAGTGTCGAAGAAACCTGAGTTAATAAAGCTGATCCTTCAATCATTAGATGTCTGCCCTTGGATTAGGTTTCTGTTTCTACAGAGGCAGGGATTTTTCTCAAATTTCTTGCCTTTCTGTTTTGCTTGAATTTTGACTCCATTAATGGGCAATACTGAAGGTAGGCCTAAGCCCATTGTTAATACTGCTGGTATTAATATATGAATTAACCTTTGATTTTATTGAAATTTGTTGCGTCTTTTAACCTGGAGAGGACCAAGGGGTAGATTTCCACTGCTACAACCCAAGGCTAAGTAATCTTGAAATTATACTTCATGAATTCTGTGTTGTGAAGAACCCTTCCCACTGTTCAGGCATCTTCTAAGAAGAATCACCAGCTGAAGACTAACCACTAGCCAGCTATCTTCAGCTTCCTCATTCTGCAGATAGGAAACTAAGGCCAGGAGAGATTAAATAACTTGCACCTGGTAACAGCTAGTTAATGACAGAACAGAACCAGAAACATGTCTAGTGCTCTTTCCACCATCCTGCAGCAACTCCTTTTATGAGAGAGACTGAAAAAGAATAGAAAAGGAAATTATGTACCATATTTAGATTGCATTTATGGCCTCATCCAGCCTATGAGAACGGAAGATAGCACAGTTGAAAGAAGCAGAACTCACCTGTGAGACTACTTGATTGCCATTTAAACTTTCAAAGGCTTTGTTGCAGTTAGGCCTTTTACTTAATTGTAGATATAATCCTGATTCAGAAATAATTTGAGATAAGAATTATCATGAATGAAATTAATTGACACCATAGTCAATTAACCCTATTTTCTGTTGATGTTTTTATATTTTTTAAGCTTAGAATCACTTTGTTTAACTTTAATTACATGCTATGTAAGACTGCTTAACAATTCATTTCCTTTGTCCTAACTTCCTAGAAATTGTTTCATATTGTTTATGTTGTGCAATCTATTTGAATGGATTTGTGGGTTTCTCCTCTGTCCTCTCAATGGAAACTCCTAGTTTTACTGTGTGTTGTGCTATTTTCCCTCATTGCAGAATTTATTTTCCTTTTTTCTAGTACCCAACAGCCGAAGTTACATGTTCTGACAATTATTTTTCTTAGATCAAAGCTTTAAAAATGTTTTGGAAGGATAAAAACGTTTGCTTAATTTTAAAAAAATAAGATGAGGGGTAAGCATTTATCATAGGAATCTCTATGAAATCAGCAGAAAAATTCAAGCAAAATCCTTTTATTTTCCTCAACAGTAGTACTTCAACAGTTGCCTCAGTTCTCGTTTTTGTCAGTGTGGATATAGGAAACAGAGGCCTCTTTTTTATTTAATCATGGTAAAAGTAAATCCCATAGGAAATGTCTGGTTGATTTTTGACTTGAATTACTAGGATCTGTTATAAGGGTCAGTTAAAAATTTGTTAGAAAGTTCTGTATGGCCAGTTTCAGTGGTACGTACAAAAATGTAATCAAAACAATGAGTTTCTCTGATATCGTAGACAACTATTTTTGTCAGGAGGCAGTAGAAAAGAAAATTGGAAAAGAGAATGAGGTCACTTTTTATTTGTACTTTAATAGACCAGGAGTAGAAAATTGTGGCCTGCCTGTTGGCATGGAGCTGGGTTAGGATACTATAGATGTAGAATCAAGTTCTGGGAGGGTTCCTTCTTTGCCTGGAACTGATGGCATGTCCAGACCTGTTCAGTTGTTTTTGTGGACATTCCTTACTTTGTTGATGTGACTTAAAGGTGTGTAAGTTTTTTTGGTTTTTTTATTCTTAGGTATGGAGAGAAAAACAATGCATTCATTGTTGCCAGCTTTGAAAATGAGGATGAGAACAAGGATGAGATTTCCAAGAAAGTGACCAGGGCCCTTGATAAGGTTACCTCTGATTATCATTCAGGGTCCTCTTCTTCAGATGAAGAAACAAGTAAGGAAGTAGAAGTGAAACCCAATTCAGTGGCTGCGACCCCCAGCCCCGTGTACCAGGTAACTATGAAGTGGCTCCATATTGAAGGTCATGAGCAAGGCTTGCAAGGGCATTCTAGGTAGTCCTGCTTATGTTGCCCAAAGTTTCTGAGTTGAAATTCTGGATCAGAGTTCTTGCCTTCCCACGCTAAGGGGAAGCTGCTACCTCTGAGATGAAATAGGCATCCTGAGTCATATAATCAAAGGTCTGCTTTACTAAATAAGTGGGATGAATACATTGTAAAAACAATAGAAAAAATAATGGTGATAAAACATTCCTGATGTTTTAAAAATCCTTATTGCATTCAAAAATAGCTACTCATTTTTTTGTAGCCTTTAACACTTCCAATTTGTACCTAACTTTCATGTTCTTTCCCTTTCTGTGATTAAAGAGAAACCTCACTAAATTATTCTTTAATTTTTCACTCAAGCCAAAACAATATCTTTCTTTGCTTTAACATTTAAAGAGTCATATAGCTACTAATACTAAAATTTAAAGAAGTCCTTTGAGTTGAGCCTTATTCTGTACGTGTAGTTTTTCTAATTTTGAGTGTATTTTTAAATATACCTATTTTTATTAATTTGGACTTAATTAGACATAATTAAACATACCAGGTTTCTGGTAGGGTTTGATTTGGGCTAAAATGAGAATTTAGACCTTAATGAGTAAGAAATCAGAGTATCATGAGTATGAGAAACTGAACCTTTAAATCCAAGATACATTTATATAATGAACATCCTTTCAGTATAACTTAATTTTTGAGTTCTTAATTATTTATTTATTTATTTATTTATTTTGTGGTACGCAGGCCTCTCACTGTTGTGGCCTCTCCCGTTGCGGAGCGCAGGCTCCGGACGCGCAGGCTCAGAGGCCATGGCTCACGGGCCCAGCCGCTGTGCGGCATGTGGGATCTTCCCGGACCAGGGCACAAACCCGCGTCCCCTGCATCAGCAGGCGGACTCTCAACCACTGCGCCACCAGGGAAGCCCTATTTTTTTTTAATTGTTGAATTATCCTTCTTAGGCTTGAGAGGAAGCTTAGTTCTGAAGATTGTCACATTCTTAGGGGTATATGTATATGTGTATATTATAACATATGCACCTGCTTTAAAAAAAAATACAAACCAAAACAAAAAGTTGAAACAGTATGAAAAAGTATAGGGGCTTCCCTGGTAGTGCAGTGGTTAAGAATCCACCTGCCAATGCTGGGGACACTGGGTCGAGCCCTGGTCTGGGAAGATTCCACATGCCGCTGAGCAACTAAGCCCGTGTGCCACAACTACTGAGCCTGCACTCTAGAGCCCGCAAGCCACAACTACTGAGCCCACGTGCCACAACTACTGAAGCCTGCACACCTAGAGCCCGTGCTCTGCAACAAGAGAAGCCACTGCAATGACAAGCCCGCGCACCACAATGAAGAGTAGCCCCCACTCACCGCAACTAGAGAAAGCCCACACACAGCAACAAAGACCCAACAGAGCCATAAATAAATAAATTTATTTAAAAAAAAAAAAAGAGTATAATAGTGACACGTCCTCCTCTTCCCACAATGACCAGTCTGTGCCCTTGCATGGAGGTTTTCATTACCAGTTATTTTTATATTCTTCCCAAGAGATTCCCTATATAGATAAGTAAACATAATATTTGTAATTCAGGGATCATTTTTAAGACCATGGCCATAAATATTTTGGACATTTTTTTCCTCTGTATGATGTATTATGTTCTACAGATTACAGCTGTTAAATTGCCTGGAATTCATTCAGGTGTGTGCTAATTTTACCTCAAGAATTTTATTTGTTACACAGCAAAGCAAGAATGTAAATTCCAAATTGAAGTGATTGCTGCAAATTTTTTCAAGTAAATTGACCTTTAATTTTTAGATTTTCTTTTAAAATTAAACTCTATTTGTTTTCCCCTATGTTGAAAGACTATTAGGATAAAATTATAACAAAGGCATAGAAATTGAACTGTCCTTTATGTGCTTTTCTCCTTGACATTATATTCACTCACAAAACATTTCATGACTGAGAAGCATAGCTCTTAAAATCATTGTGTAGAAAGCTGGTGCAGATGGTCCACTTTAATCTTTTTTACCTATACATTTTTCCATCTTGAACCTGGCATTACCAAGAGCCTTAAAAAAGAGGTTATCAAAGTATGGGCAAAGTAATTCTGAGCTTTGTTCTCTGAGGGGGGGGTATGTGTTTTCTGAAAGGAACCTCCAGAGATAATTCTACTAATTAAGAATGAAAATTATGTTATTTCTCACCAAATTGATCTATAGTTTCAACTTGCTATCAATCAAAATCCCAAAAGGCTTTTTCTAGATAAAATTTAAAGAAAGGAGAATCAATTCAGAGATCTCACACTAATATTAAGTCATTATGTTTATCAAGATAGTGTGATAATGATTTAAAGATATATAAATATATTATTGGAATAGATAGAGAGTCCAGAAGTAGACCCATGTATGTACAATTTCGTTTTTGTTTTTTTTAAATAAAAGTGCCAAAGCAATTCAGTAGGGTAAGTATATAAGAACTAGTACTGGAACAATTGGATAATCTATATATTAAAAAAAAAAAAAATGAACCTAACTGCTACCTGATACCATACATTAGAAAACTAATTTGAGGGACTTCCCTGATGGCACAGTGGTTAAGAATCCACCTGCCATTGCAGGGGACACGGGTTCGATCCCTGGTCTGGGAAGATCTCATGTGCCGCGGAGCCACTAAGTCCATGCGCCACAACTACTGAAGCCCTTGTGCCTAAAGCCCGAGCTCTGCAACAAGAGAACCCACCTCAGTGAGAAGCCCGCGCACTGCAACAAAGAGTAGCCCCTGCTCGCTGCAACTAGAGAAAGCCCACGCGCAGCAACAAAGACCCAGTGCAGCCAAATAATAAATAAAAATAAATAAATAAATAAAAAGAAACCATTAAGAAAACGAATGGGCAAAAGCATAGACTGGGACAAAATATTCTTAATACATATATTTGTCAAAAGACTTGTTTCCAGAATATACTTTAAAAATCACTCCTATAAATCAATAATAAAAGACATGATCCAATTAAAAACAGTGGGCAAAAGATGAGAATAAACACTGTACAAAAGAAGTTATATAAATGGCCAGTAAGCAAATGAAAAAGGTGCTCAACCTTATTTGTCATCAGGAAAATTCAAATTGAAACTGCAGTGAAACACTACTTCCAGAATGGCTAAAATTAAAACGTCTGACAATACCAAATGTTGGCAAGGATGTGAAGCAGCTGGATTCATAAACTGTTGATGGGAGTGTAAAATGGTATAACCACTTTGGAAAACTGGCATTTACAAAGTTAAATATGCATCTGCCCTATAACCCAACAGTTCCACTCTTAAGTATTTAACAAGAGAAATGAAAAAAACAAATATCTACAAAGCCTCATATTAGAATGTTTATAACAGCTTTTTTCATAATCATTTAATTAAAAAAAGGAAAACCACCTAAATACCCATTAACAAGTGAATGGGAGGAAATTGTGTATTCATTCACACAGTAGGATAATAGCATTAAAACAGAAAGAACTAGTAATAGACACAATACAGAAGGACCTAAAAAATATCTGATTGAGCAAAAGAATTTTGCCGGGGATTTCTTGGTGGTCCAGTGATTAGGACTCCCCTCTTTCACTGCGGAGGGTGTGGGTTTGATCCCTGATTGGGGAACTAAGATCCCACAAGCCAGGCAGTGTGGCCAAAAAAAATTTTTTGCCAGATACAAAAGAATACATGCCACATGATTCCATTTATATTAAGTTCACAAACAGGGAAAACTCAGTCTGGTGATAAAAATCAGAACAGTGGTTGTCTGTGGGATTGTGTCTTTCTGACAGTTTTAAAAGCTTATCAACACCCCAATGTACAAAGAAATGAAAACATTCCACTTTGCTACTGGTTTGTAGTATAGGTCAATTAGTTTGAACTCTAAATTCTTTATTTCCCCATTATTGTAGATAATCAAGAATTAACTGTGCTAAGGTTATTCACTGCTGCATTGTTTCGTTTGCTTTTGTGCATTGTTTTTTTGATATTAAAAGACTGAAAGCAGCCTAAATGTACTATCAACAAGACACCAGTTAATTTAGTTATGGCATAGTCATTGCATTACTGTCTAGCTGTAAAATGACAAAAAAAGTCATTATGTACTGAGATGAATGTCTCTGAGATGTATTTATCAAGTGCAAAAAGCAATATACAGAATTTTGTGAGTTTTTATAAATGTGTATATAGATGTATACCAAGTATATTCACAGAATATCTCTAAAGATGATCAAACAGTTGATTAGTGTCAGCTGCCTCTGAGAGGGTAGCTGGTAATCACATAAAGAAGAGAGACTTTTTTCCACTGTAAACAATTTTGTACCTTTTGAATTTTCTATCATGAATGCAGTGCTGTTACACAGAATATAAATTTTTAAATGCCTATACTAGGAAGAGCAGATTAGAAATCAGAGAACTCTGAAACTCATAGTCACAGGGTGTGGCATTCTGAGCAGAGAGGTCTGAAACTGCTGATAACATTTTGAATGATGTGAACTTGATGTCCCACTTGACTTACGGGATAACCTAAGACTGTTTTCCAAAATGCTGAACTGGCTACATTAGAATCAACTGCAGGGTCATCAAAATACTTGGCCTTTCTTCCTAAAGTTTTGTTAATATTGTTCAGTAGACCAGGGCTGGGGCATGAACATTCTGTATTTAAAAGCTTCTTAGGTGACTCTTTAGCCAGCTGTGGAAACCAGTGGTCTAAAACGTGATGTGTCCTTACAAGCTTCTATTCATTCCGTGTTTTCATCTTCTTTGGTTGAAATAGCCAGAAAATATCCGGTTGCTTTAGAGTGCTGTATTTGAGTTTATTCATTTTCACTCATTTAGTGAAAAAACGCTGATTTGATCACCTATTATATTTGAGGTTTTTAACATATTTAGACTTGATTGTAGGAATGTGCCTTAGACCTACTCTTAGGGTTGTGGGTGGGTGATTTTGTTTTTCTTTAATGAGTAATCTGGAAGGTCACCTAGTTTTTATATAACACATGACTAATTTTTTCTTTTTATTAACTTACTGTTTTCTCTTCTTTACAGATTTCAGAGGTGATATTCCCACCTCTTCCAATGTGGCACCCTTTACCCAGAAAAAAACCAGGAATGTACCGAGGGAATGGTCATCAAAGTCACTACCCTCCTCCTGTTCCATTTGGTTATCCAAATCAGGGAAGGAAGAATAAACCATATCGCCCAATTCCAGTAACATGGGTACCTCCTCCTGGAATGCATTGTGACCGGAATCACTGGATTAATCCTCACATGTTAGCACCTCACTAGCTGCTTTGATTCTGTTGGTGTCATGTTGAGAGAAGGTAGAATAAGCCTGACTGCATATTAAAAGTTCATACTCAAAGTAGTAAAGTTAGATGGGCTAAACCATCAAACTTATTTTTATAGAGAAGTTATTGAGAATAATCTTTCTTAAAAAATATATATGCACTTTAGATATATTGATATAGTTTGAGAAACTTTATTAAAGTTAGTCAAGTGCCTGAGTTTTTAATATTGGACTTGAGTATTTATATATTGTGCATCAACTCTGTTGGATATGAGAACACTGTAGGAGTGGACGATCTGTTCTAGCACCTTTGAGCATTTACTTTATGGAGAGTATGTAAGTTATTTATACACAAGGAAATCTATTTTATGTCATTGTTTAGAAGAATTGCGTGAAATCATGTAGTTGCAAATAAAAAGTAGTTTGAGGCATGACGTGTGCTTCTGTTCTGTGCATAAAAAGGGAGGAAGGGCAAAGGGTATCTCACTTCCATATGTTTAATTAAATATTTAGCAAAGAATAAAACTAACAATTTTAACTTTTCTTTAAAAAATTGACTTTTTATTAGCCATACCTTCCCAAAGGCTATAGTATCAAAAGATTCATATAAAACGTCTAAAGTTTGTTAGTAGTAGATAATTGAAAATATAAAAATAATGAAACATCTTTCAACCATTAGAGTCACTATACGTAGGATTTTCCTAACCAAGAATTTGGCCTCTACAAATTTTGATATGACATCTGACTTATACGCCTAGTGCCATGGCATAAAGCAGAAATGTTCTTATAGCTACGCTAATCTCTGTGCCTTGTGCTTTTTTTCAACATGTTAAAGTCTTTATTAGAGTTCTAAAATAAAGCCAAATAGTACAGTACTTCAGATTCTTCAGTAGTCCATATTTATACCACTTGTAATGCCATCAGTCTCATAAGTGTACTTGAACTACGAAAAGAGAAAAAAAGATATAAGAATTAAGGTTTTTTCCCGAAGGTAAATTTTTAAAAACTAAAAGATCATTATGTTTTCTCATTACCTACATCTTTAGATTTCTAGTCTTAACTTACTTGACTTACCAGAAAAATCACAACTTGCTAATAAATCATTGGATGTCCTTGGCTGTTCCAGATATTTCTGTTGTGTTTGCTGATAAATTCTGTTGATGTACAGACTACCAGAAAAGTGCACAAATCGTAAGGATACATAGCTCTCAAAGGTTTGAAGTATGTGGAATTCAAAATGTCTGCAACTTCAACAGAAAACTTACTTTTAAACTTTAGAGGCCTGTGGTTTTAATGTTATTGTACTCTTTGATAAGCCATATGCAACTTTTAATATATTTCTAAACCATATCTACTTTTTTTTCCCTGAGATTTATAGTGAATGCTTATTCAAACTTGAGCATATTTTCCTAGGGGTAACTGGCATCACAAGGGAGATTAGTTTTATTTAAGTTGGAAAAAAAAAATTTGTTACTGTTCCCTTATAGATCCTAGAGTTTGGGTGATAATGGCAGATTCCTAGGCAATTGTAAAAGTGGCAAGTTTCAAGTATTTTTATCATGGAGTTAGCAGATAGCATTTGTTCTGTTAGTTTGCACATGTCATAGTTATAAGGCTGTTGGGAAAATCAGAAGCATAATAGCTATATTGCTGAGGGAAATATTTTTGGTAGTACCTAGCCAGCTACACCTTTCTTTCCACATCAGATTACTATAAAAATCTCCTAAATCTCTTATTTATTAGTGTTGACAACTAAATGGCAGAGTGTCTCAGGAAAAATGCTAATTTTGAAGTTGACTGCGTATTAGATATGTTACCTGTAGAAGATTCTGCCCTTTATTGACTATCCACGTCACCTTGTTCCAAAATTTATTTAAAGCAAAAGAAAGCTCTCATCAATATAGCTTTTCCAATCCATTCCTAATGAAATAAAACCATCTTTCTTTCAGAAGCTACATCTTAAACTCAGTCTAGTAAGTATGCAGTTCAAAGTGTGTCAAACTTTTTAACTAGTAATTAGGACTCTAGGAGTTGTAACATCTCTAAGTCTGTCTCCCTCAGACTGCAGGACTGCTCTAATGAAGACAAAATGTTGCTGCATAATTTCAGCTTGACAGTGTTATGAGGCTGTTTGAAGGAGTGGTTTGTGACTGAATGATAATTTGTTTTAATTCTCCATTTTATTTTATATTTGTAGCCATAGCTGCAAAGCTCTAAATTTAGAGGTTAAACTTGGACATGGAAATATCAAAAATAAGAGAAAAATATAAATTGGTAAGTTATATTACATCAATACCAAAGTGCTTATTTCTGGGTTTTTAGTGTAAGATTTATCTCAGAGTATTTAACTTTCTGGTAAACTTCAATGACTTCAAACTAAGATGTTAAAGCATTTATATTGGCTTCTACTCAGCTACACTGTTAAAGTGATTTCTTATTTGGTGATTTGGAAGAGGAAAAAAACTTTAAATCACTTATGTGCATTTACCTTGCTAGAGTAACCATTCTATCCATTTTACAGATAATATTAAACAGTAAGTTTAAAAAATTTGTATTACTATATGCCAACAACTTATTTAATCCTCATAATAACCCCCTGAGGTGGGTACCATTATTATCCCAGGTAAGATAAGGGCTCTCAGAGAAGCTAAAAATGCTAAAGATCACAGAGAGCTAAGTAATGAAGCCCTGACTTAAATCCGAGCTGGACTTCGTAAAGTCTACCATATATAAAGTCTACCAACTAAAGTCTATAAAGTCTACCAACTCTTAAAACTTGAGGAAAGGTTCGGTATCAAGCCAAGATTTGGAAAAAAAGGAACAGATGCAAAAATTATATTGAGTGCGAATATGAGACATCAGAGTATCTTGATTAATAATAAAGCCTTGACGAAGTTCCTTTTCACAAACTATTAAGATATTTTGAAAAGGGGCTGACTAATAACTTGACAGCCATTTTATTCTCTTGAACTCTAAATCAAATTGCAATATTTCTACAGCCCAACTGATTGAGGATTGAGATGACAAAGCAAACTACCAATGATTGGTCAAGGGAAAGAGAGTTAGTGGTATTAGTATGGCCCAAGTTTATCACAGGACTTCTTTCTTTCTTAGTATCAAACATCTGTTGATTTGACGTGGTATATGATGTTCTCATGTATTCTCTGGAGTTTGTATCCCAGTTGTGAAGCAGTAACACTGTAAGGCTCTACGGGAAACACAATATCCCTGCATTAAAGATGGTAAAGGTTTAATGGCTAACTTCTATACATAATTTTAGTGTCATGACTGTTAAGTGAACTTCACTAGCAATTAAAGCAGGTTTATCTTGATAATCATAAGATTAAAAATGCCCAATGTTGGTGAGAGTGTGTGGGGAAGCAGTCACACACATAGTGTTAGTACAGGCTTGAAAGAGTATAACCTTTTTGAAGGGCAGTTAAAAATGTAAATATGCATATCCTTTGACTAAGCAAATATACTTCTAGGAATGTATCTACAGAAATACTCGAAAACAAGGGGCTGTTACCTATGTAAAAGTGTTCATTTCAAAATGTTTGTAAACAGCAAAAATAAAAACCCAATAGATGAACAGTTAAATTTGAACATCTGTTCAAGAAAATACTGTGGAAAATACCATGTAGCCACACACACGAAAGTGCATCAATTTCTAATGACGTGGGATAAAATGTTGAAAGTTGGGAAAATACTGCAAGTGGGGAAAGAAATGTTACATCTAGGATAGCGCCAATATTGTCTGGAAAAATAAACATCAAATTGTTAAAAGTAGGGTTCTCAGAGGCGGGGGTGGGGGGCAGATACAGAGAACCTCCATTTTCCTACATTACACATTTCAGATATTTATACTATTATGACTTTGTAACTGGAGAAGTGAAAGGACAAATATTTCTTAAAGAGCACTCAATTTAAGACAAGTTCAGTGGATTTATTTTTAGCAAATACAAATACTATACATCACTGATAACCAAATTGCACATATGGACCATCTGGTACATTTCTGATTTTATTTGCTGATCATACAAATATTTCTAGAAGGAAATATTCCAAAATAAATGCTTGTAATAAACTGGTTGTATTACATACTTCTCCAATGTTCCCAATGATATATATTAATTTCATGAGAAAAATTTTAAATCGTACTTTGTGGGAGAAAAATCCCTGTTACTAAGCAAGGGTATTAAATACCTGGAAATAAACTTTAACAACAGAAAGAAGTGCATCCCACAGAGGAGAAAAATTTATAAGAATTTGCCTAAAGTCAAAAATAACTGACTAGAAGAATATGCCATATTTAAATGGATACAATGCTATAAAAAAAACTTTACTTTTCAAATTAATATGTAAAGCCAATATAAATCAATTAAAATCCCACTGAAATTTTAGTGGAACTTGAAAGCCTGATTTTAAGTTTACATAGAAGAATAATTCTCAATAACTAGGAATTTTAAAAAAAAAAAAAAAAAATGGACAGGGAGTGTTCTTCCTTTTAAGTAATTTATCAATATATACTCTAAAGTATTGGGTTGGCCAAAAGGTGCGTTCGCTTTTTTCCATAAGATGGCTTAGTAGCACTTAGTTGTTTTTAATTTCATTCGAAACAATTTTGTTAGATTATATGTGACAGCTGTCATATCAGCATCCATTTTAAAAAAGACATCAAAATTGGTTAATTTTTGTGTAACCATTTTAATATTGAAGATGGAAGAAAAACAACATTTTCGGCCTATTATGCTTTATTATTTCAAGAAAGGTAAAAACACAACTGAAACGCAAAAGAAGATTTGTGCAGCGTATGGAGGTGTTGTGACTGACTGAACCTGTCAAAAGTGGTTTGTGAAGTTTCGTGCTGGAGATTCCTCATTGGACAATGCTCCACAGTCAGGTTGACCAGTTGAAGTTGATAGCAATCGAGATATTAATTGAGAACAATCAACGTTATACCAGGCAGGAGATAGCCAACATACTCAAAATATCTAAATCAAGCGTTGAAAATCATTTGCACCAGCTTGGTTATGTTAATCACTTTGATGTTTGGGTTCCACATAAGTTAAATGAAAAAATCTTTCTTGACCATATGTCCGCATGCGATTCTCTAGTTAAATGTAATGAAAACGTCCGATTTTTAAAACAAACTATGACGAGTGATGGAAAGTGGATACTGTGCAATAAATGTGGAACAGAAGACATCATGGGGCAAGTGAAATGAACCACCACCAACCACACTAAAGGCTGGTCGGTCTTCATGCAAATAAGGTGATATTGTGTATATGGTAGGATTGGAAGGAAGTCCTCTATTACGAGCTCCTTTCGGAAAACCGAACAATTAACTCCAAGTACTGCTCCCAGTTACACCAACTGAAAGCGGCACTTGACGAAAAGCGTACAGAATTATTAGTCAACAGAAAACGCATAAT